AGATTATTGCATTATGATATAGTTTGGTATTGCCATTTTCTCCAGCATGTTGTTGGACAGAGATAAATTCTATCTCAGAAAGGAAATGTATTAGAGAAATGTCTAAAGATGAAAGGACTTACATTCAACTCTTCCATCCCCAGGATAGCTCAGGCAAGTTCCCTCCAGCATCTTTTAATGATTTGTCCAGACCACTTTTAAGTATTCCAAATGAAAGAATTTCAACCGTTTTTCAAGGAGCACTATGGAGAAATTGAGACATTTTGATGGAAAACTGTTCTGGCTAAATTTTGTTTGGAGAGGAAGAATATATCTTGACAATTGTCCATGTGCTCAGAAGGGAATCAGGCAGGACCTTAAAAATGTGTTTGTACAACATTTCATATTTGCCTTTTTGGGTAAATTTTAAATTGTTTAATAAAATTGTTTTTATGCATTCTGATTATCATTACTGAAGTTTTCTACTGAAAAAGGTCTATTTTGTGTAGCTTTTAATATTTTTAAAAACATTTTCATATTAATTTTATCCTGATTTGAGGCACATCGGGCTACTTGTCAGACTTTCTGGTTTCAATTTACAGAAATATGATCAGGTTACCCAGCTAATTGGGGTTGCAAGGATCAACAGGGAAATAAAGAGAAAAAAAGTCATTTTAACAATCTTGTAGGCAGAAGTCATGGAGAATTTAGATTTCAAAATTTACATATTAAATTCAATGTACTTTTGACAGTACAATGAAAGCTTTTTTTAAAAAAAAGTCTTGATAATTGTGATCAGACTAGACATATATTTATGCTTGTCCCAGTGTCACTCTGCCTCTGGATTGACTTCTGCAACTTCATGGTTCCCACTAACTCATAATTTCTACCTGTTCATGCATTTCTCTTATTGGCTTCTCATTTTTTCTTTTGACTGAAGTGCATCCTGTTACTTGTGTGTATCTCTTAGTCTGTAGTGTTGGACCAGCCTATTTGTGTTGATTTCGTGTCAGGCATGAATCCCTAACTTAGAGACCCCAGGGTAAAGACATTGCTTTCTGCTCCTTGTGGATACTGCTGTATGTTGAGGAGTCAAAGTATTGCACTCTCCTTCCCCCGCCCCCAGTTGAACCTGCTATTATTTCTATAAGGTGAATGTGGAAATGAAGTCTCAGAGAAGTTGTTCAATTTGTTTATATCCATACAACTACTAGAGGCAGACTCAGATGTAGTTCATAGTTTTCCTGACTCTTATATCCAAAAGCTGTACATGGCAGCTCACTAAGCACAGCTATCTTATGAAACTTTAACTTGATTTAAATTAATGTCATAAGTGCTCTAATACAGACTTCATCTTTATTAACTTCAGTTTGTTTGTAAAATGGGAACTTCTCATGTTTGTTGTGAGAGTAAATGAGACGGTGTACATAAAGCTATTAGCACAGTGTTAAAGGGCTAATGATTTATAAGTATTATTAGACTGCAGCACCTAAGTATTTTAGCGTTTGTGTCTCATAATTTATTTATTTTGTCAAAATTGTCCACTACTCTCCTATTTTTATTTAAAAAAAAAATCCAACCACTTCTAAAACTTCTTTCAGATTATTTAGTAGTAATGATAATGAGGAGGAACTTGATGACAATAGCTAAGATTTATTGAACAGTAATCTGCCAAACCCTTATTTTTATAGAATCCCTTATGTTGTATACTATGATCACTTTTATTTACAGATGGGAAAACTGAAACTTAGAAAGTTTAAGTCACAAACCTTTGCAAGAGTCAGGTCTGTCTGACTTCAGATCCATAGGTCTTAACTAGGACATGTGCTAATATTATTATTATTTTCCTTTTCCTTTTTGATGACAGCCTCTATTCCTCAGTACCCACAGAGTCCACCATTGGCTAATCACTGCATGTTCTCACCACAGCAACAGTACTTGTTTCAAAAGCCATGTTGCCAATTAATCAAACTCTTTATTGCTCTGGAAGCTAAGCATTGAAGATATTAAACCTAAAAGCTGTAGGTTTCTGTTTCAGTATTGTGGAGAGCCATCTGAGAATGAACTGACAGTAGAGAAAGTAGAGCAGTTAGAGAAGAGTCCTAATGGTTTCATGTACTTGGTTCCTGTTGTTTCTAAGGTAATGGTGCCCCCATTTTTAACCACTTTGTGTATGACTAAATTTAGTTAGCACAGAATTCACCATTTCTTTAAAAGTTAGTTAAACTTGCTAGCAAAGCATTTTTCTGAAAATAATGTTATGCATGTTAAAATAAAGAGAAGCAGAGTATAAGTTTATACTGCTTATAATATGAGAAAAATAATTACAATAAAATAAACAAGAAAGACATTAAAATTAGAGCTAGAAAAGATTTGAAATGAAAAATTAAAAAAAAACCTGCAGTGTAGAAAATTATTTAAGAATGGTGAACTTCAGTAATTTAAACTTTTATGATAAATGATCAATTTTATAATGAGCTTATCAATTCATTTCATGGTGATCATGGTACTCCATACTTCAAATCTTATTTGTTCATTCACTCATTCATTTATATATATATATATATATATATATTTATTTAAACTCATTTGAAAGCTGCTTTTGCATGCTTTATGTACTGTTTACATACTACTTAAATGCTTTCCTGCTAACTATGGCACAGTTCCCGTCCTGCCAGCACTCACAATCTATTGATGGGAACATGTGGGACCAATCACATACTGCCCTATCGAGAAAATAGTAATATGGGAGCAAGGAACATGGGATTCTGCTGAAAATTAAAATACTACATCAAGGGAAACCTTTATCAGTATGACATGAAAAATAAAAATCGTAAGTACAAAGAGTGTTCATAAGGTGACTCTATAAAATAAACAAAGTCAAAAGCATGGCATTCTAAAAAAAAGTTTATTATGCAATGACTGAAGTACGTATCATACAAGAAATGCTCACACACTGACAGAAACTAACAACAAAATGGGCAAAAGTTCTGAATAAGGCTATCCAAAGAAAACAAAATGTAAATGCCAATAAACACAAAAGGGCATAATGCTGAACACAGCAGCAACCATGAATGAAGACAATAATGACTTGCAAATACTGGATTTTCAAAAACTGAAAAATATTTTTGATCAGTCTGATCATTTTGATTCTCTTGGTGAAGCTATAAATGTGAAACATACAATTTCACATAGACTCAGGCTACTAGCTAAAAATATTTGGAGGCTAATTTAGAAAAACATATCAAACTTAGAGATGTAACACAGCATCTGTTTTATATTCAAACCAGCACACACTTAAATTTAAAGAAGATAATTGAAATGTCATATAAAATAGCATGATATTGCAACCCACATAAATATCTATTAGCAGAGAACTAATTAATGCTTCATAAAAAATAGTACACACACTCACATATGCATAACAATGTTTGTGTGAACATTGAATAAATACCAAAATATTGCTAATAGTCATCTCTGAGTAGTGGTTAGTGATATATGCAGAATGAAAAATCTTAATTTACATTTAGATACAGAAGCATATTTTTGTTCATTTGAAAAAAAGATGAGTCTGAGGACCCATATCCTGAAAAAAGATAACAGGAAACATATTTTAAATATAAATTACTAAAAACAAAGACAAAATGTAATTTTTTTTGTGATTTTTTTTTTCTACTCAGCAAAAGTCAACATCATTGCATAAAAAGTGCACTTGATCTTGGAAAGTGACCAAAAAGTTGTTTAAATATATGACTGGAGGACATGTGTAGGGAGCTGAGTGAATGGATGGTGGGGGACAAAATAGCCTAGGAAATAATTTTGAAGTAGAAAAAGACAATCATCTTAGATCCCAGTGCTTTGAAATTCCAAAATGCTATTAGATGGTTTAAGTCTTTATCATTTGAAAGTCTCTTCTTTAGATGAATATATTTTTTCCTAAAATGTTTCTACTTAAGATTGCTTTATTATTTAAGCAGCAATAATTTTTCTCTCTTGATTTTCTATAGTACAAAACAGGATCTTTGGCATGATAGAGAGAATGAATTTATCATTTTCCTTCTTCCCTTTTCTATACCACAGCCCTTATCATTTCCTGTCATCATTTTCTAAATGATTTAAACAATGAAGCTCTTCTTTCTCCTATGGGACCAAAGTACCAGATAATAAGTCTAATTTTCTGGAAATGTTCATGATATCCAGCTAACATCTAACAGTTTGTAATTACAATCCCTGACTTAACTACACTTCAATATTTATTTGTAACTACTCTGACTATACTTTTTAAAAAGTTCTTTGGATGTTTTTGAACAGATATTTTCCTTTCCTGCTGCTGCTGTTGTCATCATTTCTTGATTTAACTAATGAAATATTCCAATCAAATGCTAAATTAATTAATTTCATTATGCACAACGCATGAGAAAAAAATGTGTGCTTATAGAGCCAGATTCTAATGGCCAACATTTTTCCTAATAATACCTTGTTTTTGATATAAGATAGTGGTTGAGAAGGAAAGAGTTGTCTACATCCTTATATATACTTTAAAATTCATGGCCATTTCTCATACCTTAAAAAGCGGTATGTTGGCTGTATAAAGGAAAAAGGGGGAAATGGAAGGCTGTCTCAATGGGTTCTGCATTAGCTCATTAAATACTAAAATACCATTTCTATTTTACATAATTTAACATGGCAAAATATAAAAAAGGTGAAACCAGCAACCCCTAGGCATGCGTTTTAAAACATCCTCATTTAGATGCTAATTTTGATTCTAAGTGTATGACTGGCTTAAAAAAAAGCCATTAACAACAGGCCAGATTACTTAAAAGGATTATTAGGCAAATATGTCAGGTTGTTCTGATACCAAGTGGCCCCTTTTATAATCGAATACCACTTCCTTAAGTAAAACGGAATAAAGTGTTTGTTTTTAAAATAAACAGAAAAATCATACACTTGATTTAAAAAAAGAAAAAAAAAAGATAATAATCATCTCAAATATAAATCCTGCAGCTGAAAAATAAGGTTACCTTTTCCCGAGTCACATCATCTAGAAGTACCAGGCATCCATTGGCTGAATGGAGCCTCATGTAATGGTGAAGTGAACTAAAAACAAAAACAAAAAAAAACCTGTTTAATGCCAATTTCATACTGTGCCTTTTGTATTAGCAAAATCCACCATGACAGAAAAAGTGAAACAAGGAAAATAACAGACAAGAGGGAGAGTGGTTATCTCCAGTTGAGAGTGAAATCTCCACTGGCAAAAATGATAGTTAATGATATTAAAGTGAAAACTGTCAGACAAAAGAGATACACGTATATATTTCATAGTGCATAAATAAATGGTGGGGGAGGAAGGGGCAGATGGTTCTGTAAGTACATTATGACTGAGGAATGCTAAACTGGCCTTGAACATGGTTCACTGCCAAACTCTAACACATTTCTCAGTAAAGAAATTTAACCAACAGAGCTAAAACATGCAAGCACACAGAAAGTTACATTTCACCTTTGAACTTATTACACAATGAATCTTTTCCATTTCTTAATTGGTTCTCCCGCCTTCAGTCTCTTATGGCTCAAAGTTCTTTTCAAAGAGGCTGCCAGATTAATTTTCTTAAATGACTTCTTGTTAATGGTTTAATAGTTTTATGCCTCTTGCAAGAATATAAACAGTAAAGGGACGGGGATTGTTTCTTACTCATTTTCACTTATACCTTATACAGGGTTTTGTCAAGTGCTGCTTAATCAATTCTTGGTGGATGGATGGATAATTTTTAATTCTTCTGCATTGTCTAAGAAATTTGAAAATAATATTCACTCTGACATCCAAGTTTCCTTTTATCTTTCCAATATTCTTTTCTGTTTCTTCAGATTCTACACTATTCTCCAGCCAAAGTGAATGACTCACTGTTAAAGACACCCCTCCTTTACCTATTCATCTGTGTGTCTCAGCCCATGCTGTGAACTCCATCTGGAATATCATTTTTAGTCTCCTGTATATCTACCTCTCAAAATCCTATGTGCTTTCAAGTTCTATCATAAATATCAACTTCTCCATTAAAACGTCCCCTGACTGAGTGTGATCTACCTCCTTTTTTAACATTTATGATGCCCACAATAGTCTGCATTTTATTATAATCTCTCCTTTAATTAAATTCTCAAGTTGCTGCTTGTTTTCTTCTTACTGTTAATTCTTTTTTTTTTTAACCTTTGCTATTTGACTGTAAGCTCCTTAAGGGCAGGAATTAGAGTATTATTTATCATGCTAGCAATGTTTTCAGATTGTAGATGTCAATGCATGAGTGGACTTTAAAATTAGTTTAGTGGGTGTATAATTTTCATAAAATAGATTATAATAAGGTTATTATCACTAGAATAGGTTATTAACTAGAATAGGATAAAATTAGAATGCATCACACATATCATGGTTAAATATTCTTTCATGAAGTTATATTGGTTCATATGTCTGTACATTGTGTCATAACATAAAATATTTCTGTTTCTTGCAGACAAAATTTCCAAGGTCACTGTAATAGAGCATTTAGCTCAGTTACTTGCACGTAGTAAGTAATCTGCAAATATCTTGGAATGGATTTCTACGAATTTCGTCATTTACTTTAAAATGTACCATCAGTTATACACATTCTGCAAGTAAACTTTAATGTCAGATTAACACTGATAACCATTCTTTCAGATCCAGAATGATAGACTACTTGACATTGACAGTGCATTTTGAGTACAGAAAGGAAAATTTCTGCTAGAGTGGAGAGCAGTGCTACTTTTTTAGAGGCACTTTAATGCTTAGCTTTTGAGGTCTTTCTGTTTCAATAGTGTGGTCCATTTCTATTCATTCCTAATGCTTTTTGTTTCTTAATTCTAGTCTCATGAAAAGCTTCTAAATAAATGTAGATTTCAATTAATAGAGGCTAGACGGTTATTTATAATTAACCATCCTAATAATGTGAGATTGTTTACTAGCCAAATGAAATAGAAATGGTGGCTTTTACAATAAATTCAGGGTGGGAGCATGTTGCAGCACATTTGACTTTCTGTTATGGCAACACAGCTGGAGGCAGATGGTGGAAGTGGTTCGGAGCAGCCTGCCCATGAATAATGGTAGGCAAGGGTAGCCCAGCCCTGTGGGAGGCCTCAGGCTCTGCCACTTTTAGGAGAGACTCAGAAATACCTCTTTGTATGTGGAGTATTGTTACCTCTGAACAGGAAAGCAACCCCCTGCTAAAAAGCAGGAAATAGGGAGCAATGCTGTTTGAAATTAAAGTGATTACTTCACACACAAACACCCACACCTCTTGCAGGCTGCACAAGGGTTGTGGAGTCTGCCTTCCCTTTCTGGTCAGACTCACTGGAAGCCCTATGACTCTTTTTACCTCCATGGGATCGTAATTTTCTAGCCCTGCTGTTAATGTTGACATCTCTCCAGTAACACAAAATGATATTGAGAAGATAAGGATGGAAATCTTAGGACTTACTAAACTTGTCCAAGTTCATAGGAAGTTTAGATAATTTACTTATGGCAGAGCTGGTGCCACTGCATGTACATGCCTGGAGTATGCCTGTCTTGCTGCCCACAACTTTGTTCTGCACCCCTTCTTATCTCCTGTTCCTTACCAGATCAGGTTGTGTTGATCTTGGTCAGAAAGTCAAGCCCTGAACCATCATGAGATTATTTTCACAAAGGATTTTTTGTTTTGTTTTGTGTGTGTGTGCATTTTTAAAAAATATTTATTTATTTATGCATACAAGAGCTGGGGTACAGGCCAGAGTTGCAGTGCATGAGAGGATTCACCAGAGATAGAGTGGGGAGCAGAACAGGCAGATCTACTGCTGAGGGGAGCAGCAGGCCAGAGAGGAGAGGTTAGCAAACTGGTGGGGGATCGAACTTCTGCTGCAGTTGGTACGGATAGCTTCATAGTGCTGACGCCTAACCCCTTGTGCCACCAGGAAGGGCCCTGTGTGTGCATTTTTTAAAAAGTTATATTTATTGAGGTAATGTTGATTCACATCAATGTATGCCTTAGGGAGATAGGTTTATGCCGCTACAACTGTGTGTTATTTCATCACATCCACCACCAAAAACCCAGTGATCCTTTGCTCCCACCCCATCACATCCCCTTTCTGGTAGCTTTAATCATAGTCAAATGTGCTCTTTTCCCTCCTGTTTCCACCCCTCCTCCTCCCCTCTTGGATGCCTCAGATCTGTGGTCAGCTTTCAAGGTTTATCTTTGGGAAATGTTTTATTAGTGAGTGGCACCACCTCAGGAGGACAGCAATCAGTACTCAGAAAAAGCTGCCTCTCCAAGTGCCAAGTGAAGAAAGATTATATAGGAAAGTAAGCAATGTGGGAAGAGTTTCTTCATTCAGAGGCCTGGAGGTGCCAGGCAGTCCAGGAGTAATAAATCACAAGACTATTGATAATATTTCTGGAGTAGTTTTTCTCTCAGTTATAATCAAAACAACCCTAGGTGTTCATTGGGCACTAATGTGAGTGTCCTCAGAAGGAGGCAAACCATCACCACAGGCCTGAGGAATGTAGAACAGTACCTTCTAAGGCTGAGGTCATGTTCCCCATTCAGGCAGACCACACTTCATTTATCACCGTTATTTTCTTTAAATAACATTCCCTGCTAATTTACACAATGAAATCAGCAGGGTACTAGTCTTCTACAGCTTCGGTTATCTCTGCTTTACCATTGACCTGAGTAACAACACTCTCCCTTTCCCATGCATGCTGTAAGGTAGGGGAGAATGAAGTTTTCCTTATCTCTCAAGACCCTGGCTGGGCCTGAAAATTAAGCCAACACAGAGAAAAAGAAGTTTATTTAAAGTGTTTTACATGACACTAGGCCTTCATAAGAAAATGAAGACCCAACAAAATGGTTAAGCCTGAAGGGTTTTGTTCTAGGTTTGACAAAGAGTGAAAATAATAGGAAAAAACAAAACAAAACAAAACAAAACATAGAACAAAAAGATAGGAGCTATGGGTAATAAACTGCGGAGAATTCGTAAAACTTGTTATATCAGATTCCTCTTTATGACTCTCTGCCTTTGAAGATTAAGAAGCTCTTTTATTCCAGGTAGAGGAAGGCATATTTCATGAAGGTCTGCTTCTGGGGACAGGGGAAATTGAGAGAGTTCTTGCATCTGTAATTCCTCAAATTCCTGTACAATAAAATATCCAATATGCCAAGGTGGCATTTTTTGAGAAAGAATGTTCTAGACCCTATCAATGACATGACAATCAGAGAGAATTCTCTACTGACCTCTTAAGAAATTTTAAAGAAGGTTATTATTTATATTAGCTAAAAGTTTGATTAAAAGTTTGAAGTCAAGAAAAATTAGTTTTCAAAGGATAATATTCTATCCTCTAGTCAGAATGAATAAAAGAATTTTGTTAAAATAGAAGCATGATTTTCCCTTAGTTCTATTCCCAAGTAAGTCCAAATTTTGTTGGGATTGTTAGGGGGAAAAGGCGGTCCCAAAGCAAATTCCATACAGGCTTTGTGGACTCCACCCCCACCCCAGGTCAAAGCCAAAGACACTGGGAACTCCAAATCCCATCACCACCAAAGGGAAGGTGGCTGGGACCTGAGGGTGGGGTTAAGCAGCCAGGTGGATACAAAAGGCAGACACGTGGGCTTTGGGGGGCTCTCTCTCCATTTTGGGCTCTGGGCCAGCGCGGAGCCTCCGGCCAGCTCTGGGAGTGACTTTGGGTTTCCAGGTCGTCGGATCGGGTAGGACGCATTAAAGACTTTATTTCCCTATTTTCTCCCTGAGTTGTACATTTTCCTTATTTCCTTTCCTCTTGTAAATAAACCTTTTATTAACCCTTTTGTGTGTGTCTGTAGTAGAGTATTCATAAGTCCCTTTAAAGCGCGCGGGTGAGGACCCACAGCCAGGAACCCGTTTAATATCGGGGTTGCTCTATAACAGGATGACTGTAGATTGTTCTTTGTCATCGAAGATAATGTTAAATGTCAATATGTGGGACAGTGTCAATTTTTAAGCTAGAACTATGCTGTCCGATAGAATAATTAGGTTATTATAACCCTAATTTAAATGAACAGGAATAAAATAAATTTAATTTC